TTATTTCAGATCTTTCAAACAAAATCTTAAGCTCTTAAAGTTCAGGATTTCAAGTGCTTATAAATCTAGAGTAATAACTCAGTGGAAAAATAGTGTAACTAGACAGTTCACAGAAAAAGAAATACCAGATCCTCAATCTCATAAGAATATGTAAATGTGAAAACCACACTAAGATGCCATTTTTCACTTCTTATATTGCAAAGTTTAAAAGTTATATAACTTAACTAAAAGTATGAGGAAACATAGCTTGCTGAAGGAAGAATAAATCAGTAAAATCTTTTGGAAGGCAACTTGGTAATAGCTGGCAAAATTTAAATGTGTATCTTTTGACTCTTGGAATTCATTTTGCGGAAGCTTTCTATGATTCCTGCATTTGGAAGATCATTTATGCCAAAGATTTTAACATTATAATAACAAAAGATTGGGAAAAATCTAAATGTCCTTAACTAGAGGATTTGGAGACTGTATGGTATAGTCATGTAGTGGAATATTGATCCAGTCATAAAACAGATAAGGAAGCTCTGTGTACAAATAGGAAAGATGTTCAAGATGCATTAAATCAGGGATAGCCAACTTTTTCTTAAAGGGCCAGCCAGCAAATATTTTGGCTGTTCAGGTAGAGTAGTCTCTGGGTACGACCCTATGTTGTTGTGGGACACAGCCATAGACAATTTGTGTATGTGCATGAATATATTCCAGTAAAGCCTTATTTACAAAAATCGGTCCCTGGCCTGTGAGTCATAGAAAAACCTGGTATGTAAACTGTAGCAGAGGTATGACGTGCTGAAATTATTGAGAAGTGAGTCCAAGCTTTGCCTGGGATATTTGGGGAAAACATCATAGATAAGGTGATAATTTAAACTGAGTTTCTGTGGGTGTATAGGAGTCTAAAGATTAAGGAATTGGTGAGAAGTTGTTTGATAATGGGGGTGCTTTGTTGAGAGTTAATTAAGAGGTAAACTGGGATATTTTTGAAGGGACTAGGCACTAATGGTATTTCTAACCCATTTTCTACCTTTTTAAGGAAAATTTTTATTTATTTATTTGAAAGAGAGCATGAGCAGGGTGGAGAGGCAGAGGGAGAAGGAGAAGCAGGCTCTCGGTTGAGCAGGGAGCCCGATGTAGGGCTCCATCCCAGACCCCCAGGATCAAGATCTGAGCCAAAGGCAGACACTTAACAGACTGAGCCACCCAGGCAACACCCCCCCACTCACTACTTTGAATAAAAAATATTTCAACACCTAGCTCTGTTAATCCTTGAAATTTTGCCGTACTTACTTCATTCAGTGTTTGGTTTTGTTTGTGTGAGGTTTTTTTGATAAATATTTTAAAAGAAATATTACAGATATAATTTAAACCGTGACCTGTAAAACACGCTGAGTATATTCTCTTTTTCCAGAGATGACAACTAATACGAAGTTGTTACTCTTAATTTTACCTTCCTATAATAACTACATGTTTATATACCTTGAAACAAAACATTTTATTGTTTTTTATACTGTAAAAATTAATAGAATGGTTGTGTATCATTTCACAATTGACTTTTACTTAGAATTGTGTTTTTACTATTTCCCTGAGTGGATCAGCACTGGTCGACAGAAATATAATGCAAGCCATATATGTTATTTTAAATTTTCTCATAGTCACAGGTGAAATTAATAATATACTTTAATAACCCAGTGTATCTGAAATACTATTTCAGTATAAAATCAGTATGTGACATTATTAAGAAGGTATTTTACATTCCCTTTTTATACTGAAATCTGTCATCTGTTTTGCCCTCATATCACATTAGACTAGTCACATTTTACACGTTCAGTAGCCATAAGTGGTGAATGGCTATTCCTATTTCCTGTTCTATGAACAGAGAACTGCTGGGACTTGGATAGAACTGAACACACGGAGGGCTTGAAAGTGTGCACATGCCGAACTGCCAGGGGTCAGCTAAGTGTCAGCATGTTGACTCAAGAGAGAGTATTTTGTGTGTTGGAACTTGCTAATCTCCATCTGCAGTGCAAAAACCATTCCATGTCCAATAAAAGAAGCCTCTCTCAGGAACATTTCCTGCTGGTAATCTTTGGAGCACAGAATGGTGATACCAGCCCGGCCCACGTTCTCTAGATAGACAGGAGCTCCACGTTCTGTCCATTTAGGTGTACTCTCTTCCTTCTTGCTTGTCTGGAATAAACTGTCGGAATTGTTCCTGCTGTTATCAGGGATGTCACATTTGTAGTTCACATTCTCCATATTTGGACCTTAATAACTAGGTAAACTTTTTGCTTGCTTATTTTTTTTTTTAAGATTTTATTTATTTATTTGACAGAGAGATCACAAGCAGGCAGAGAGGCAGGCAGAGAGAGAGGAGGAAGCAGGCTCCCTGCTGAGCAGAGAGCCCGATGTGGGGCTCGATCCCAGGACTCCCAGATCATGACCTGAGCCGAAGGCAGCGGCTTAACCCACTGAGCCACCCAGGCGCCCCTTTGCTTGCTTATTTTTGCCAAGAATCTCCAGTGGCACCATTGAGCCCCATATCATATGCCTCTATTCCTGGTTTTCTAAGGTTTAGCCAAGTGTACAGTCCCATCACACTAAAGGTCTATCTGTAGACTTTATTTCCCTTATTTTCCACAGAAATACCTTCATAGAAATGCCCTAGAGTTAACAGTCATAGCAGAAACTGCCTGTTAAAATGCTTTAGTTTTATACACACTATAATTAGAGGGATTTTCCATTATGCTGTTACTGTCCCTCAAAAATGACTTAATGAAAAAAAGTCCAAGAACAAAAACAGGGAAAAGTTTTCTCCATCTTGCTCATTCATTGCTTGAGTTTTTCTTTTTTTTTTTTCAGTTCTGTGGCGTTTGTTTTAATGTGTCTCCTTTTGTATGTCCACAGAAATCCTTTTGTCATAATGTAGGTGATAGATCATAATCTTTGTTAACTCTTACTAATCAAGGGCTTTGATACAGTCTGCCTTCTTCAGCTTGATGACAGCGTTTTAATAGCAGTTGTATACAGCGCTTTCCTCCACAAGGTGGGGGTAGAGAGTTCTCTGGGCCTGTTTAGGTACGGAGAATTTGACAGTGGTAGTCATCAAGTTAACTTTCCATAAGTTGACCAAAAAAAATTTGTCAGTACCAATATTAACGCAGCTTTGCCTTAGGGTTAGCATGATTTCCCAAAATTCTTGTTCTACTCAACTCATCAGCCATCCAAACATTGTTAGTGATTATATTTTGTAACGATTTAAGTACTCTATGAGTTTACTTCTAAATCCATTTACTCTTGTTACATTACTTTGCCCCCCCCCCCTTTTTTAATCTAAGGGGAGCACAGCCACATGCAAATAATGCATGTTTTGATTGGGCAAATGGGAACTGAGAAAAGAAAAGAGGTAATTCTGGGAGAGTACGGGTTTTGGTGGGTCTGATAGGGAGTAGAAGAGGAGAGAGAGAGGCCCCGGGTGGGGTGCCACAGTGGCAGGTCTGTCATACAAAGGGTGGCATAGAGTGTGGCCAGTAGCTTTTCAAATTTGAATACTAAAATTATGTATATGCTTTATATACTTGTTAGATAAATGATACAGGTAGGTCTAAACCACATGGGAGGATGTTACCCATTCTCTTCATGAGAAATTTAATCAAGTCAGTCAATTAAAAATTAAAGTGTTCACACACAAACGTTGTAATCTGAAATGAGAAGAAAGCATTTGATATGGCCGGTTGGCTTCAGGTTCCTCATGTCAAGTGTTAAAGAATGTCTCCTAATCATAATGAGCCTATTTGTCAGAAGTCGCTTTTAACAAATTTTGGGTTATGTCTTACTGTATATATAAAATTCAACAATAAAATTAAAAAGAATTTGTGAAGGTTTTTATTCAAATAACATGTAGTTCAGATGGATGACCTGGGACAAATTCCCATGTTACTGTATTTATAGACTCAATTTTCAAAAGCCCCTTAGTTCTGGTTGGTTCTTCATTTCAGAGTAGGAAATAGCAGAGGTTTACTGTATGGGCCACTAGTAAAAAGCCCTGTTGCTGCTTGGAGCATACCAGACTTAAAGGCCATATAGTATAAAGATTAAAAAGAGAATGACACATGGGAAGGTTTGGAAATTGTTTATGATTTATGAATTAAATTTGGAGAATGCAGATAATAGTGAAGATGTTTTTTAATTGACATGATGACAGCTGATTATACACATTTGCCTTTGGTTTCTATAAGAATTCCATTTTGGTTTCCTTAGGATTATATTGGTTGGCTGGAATTTCTGAGAAAGTCCCTTGCTTTGCTAAGGCTTTTTAGCCATTTGAAAATGGATGGTGGATCTTACAGTGAAGAGAATTTTTTCTGTAGTTTGATACTAATATCAAAGCAGAGCAGTTGGGTTGTGAGTCTGTGGTTTGGTGTGATGTACTTGCCATTATTTATGCTCAGTTAGAAGGCAATTCCTCATTTTCCCCTTGAGAATACCTTCTTTCCAAATTCTTTTGCCAGCTAAAATATACAGGATCTTAAAGCTGTAACAAACCCATATAAGGAATTACGTATATTGCATCTATTTAGTCACACAAACTACTGTATTAGTTATAGAATTTAGAAATAATGTTTTGTTTCACTGTCTTATGATAAAATAATTTTGTTCAATCTTTGTGTGTATTGGGTTCCCTTTGGGATAATTTGTCTTCTTGAGATAGTTTTTCAAGTGACAGCTATGATAGGAGTATGAGTGTCTTCATAAGTCTTTAGATATAAGGCGACTCCTTTTTTCCCCCGAAAAGTATTTAGGGCATAAAATCCTCATCCGATATTTAAACATATGATAATTCCTCCTACCCTTATTTTTCATTTATCTTTAGAAGTATTTCTTAGTTTTAAAAAGTCAATTTTGAGTGAGCTTATTCTTACTGAATATCTAAGTTTCTAGTTGTTAATGTGGATTTTGCCTTTTTTTTTTTTCTTTGAGGGGTTGGACATAATTGCCTTATTTCATTTCAGGGATCCTTCTAAAGTAAATATTCTGGTACCTGGTGCTGGACTAGGAAGACTGGCCTGGGAAGTAGCTATGCTAGGTTATGCTTGTCAAGGAAATGAATGGAGTTTTTTTATGCTCTTTTCTTCCAACTTTGTACTCAACAGGTATTTAATTTACTTTTTGCTGGAAATAGTAATTTCTCAGAATCAGATTGACTTACCTATTTTTGAACAATTCTGAATTTGAAGATAAATACATAGTGTTTAATTATGATATGTATCGTGTTTCTTAAATTAAAATCAAGTTGCTTATACAAATTACCACTCTTTAATTAGTTCTTAGTTAACAGAATGTTGAAATGGGATGGGTAAGTGACTTTCTTAGAAAACCATGGGACATCCCACAAAACTGAAATGCTCCCTGTGCAGAATTTCAAGACTTTGGATGATCCAAGAAGGAATATTTTCTCATTGTTCCTTAAACTTCGTCACCCCTTTGTTTCTTCAGTGGAGTGAGGTCAGTGTAGCAATCGTAACTTTTTCCCATAATCAAATTCTGATAGGACGGCCATGTATGCTCATACGACTGAGTTGGAAACATCTCTTAGAATTTCTGTGGCCTCTTTTAGAAAACAGTGGAAAAGAGTTGTTATTTTTAAAGCCAGAAGAGGGGCATTGGAAAAAAATAACTACCTGCCTTGTTTAAATAATATGTTGTCCAGTATGGGTTAGGGAATGGTGAGAAGTTAAAATGGAGAGAATTAGAATAATTGGGTAGCAAACAAAACCCATACCACTTGTTTGAGAAAAGGTTGGCCTGTTTTTTACTTGAGTTTGAGGTTTGGAAATACATTTTTTAAAATATGAATGAACAACACATTTATATCTCTGAATTTACTTTAATTTTTTTTCTTGTCTTTTAATTCACTATTGGTTACTCATCTACATCTGTATGTGCATTTTCAGATAATTGGTTGGGGTATAGTGGTAACATCTTACGTATTAATGAATTATATAAGTAAATCTTCAATCAGGTTATATTTTAGTATTTAAAGTAGACTTTCTTGGTAAAATATTTAGTTAACACTGAATTTTGTGCTCATATTTTGCAGATGTTCTGAAGTTAATAAGTATAAGCTTTATCCCTGGATCCATCAGTTTAGCAATAACCGAAGGTCAGCTGATCAGATTCGACCCATCTTTTTCCCTGATGTTGATCCCCACAGTCTTCCTCCTGGTTCTAATTTTTCTATGACAGCAGGAGATTTTCAGGAGATCTACTCAGAATGCAGTAAGTCCAAAGCAAGCATTTAAAAGTATTTGTTCTTTAGTCTAAATTTAATGAGCTGATTTTATACTAAGTCAAATTATTGGTCATTCATTGACAAGTTAGGATATTTTCAAAGTCCTGTATAAGGAAATGATGGGAAATACAAAGTACAAGATCCCACCATTAAGAAATATAGACTCTGCTGTCTATTAATATAAGACAATATGTGAAAAAAGTTCATGAATAATGAATACAGTAAAGGTAAAAGATTAGTGTGGGAAAGGAGACTTTTGTAGAGTGAAGGCTGTGACTTCAAGAATAGGGAGGCAGGGGTACCTGGGGGGCTCAGTCGGTTAAGTGTCTGCCTTTGACTCAGGTCACTCTTCCATGATCCTGGGATCAAGTCCCGCATTGGGCCCCCAGCTCAGCTGAGAGCCTGCTTCTCCCTCTCCCTCTGCTGTTCCCCTTGCTTGTGCGCACTCGCTCTCTTCTCTCTGTCAAATAAATAAAAATGTAAAAAAAAAAAAAGGGAAGGCAAAGGTAGGAAGATATAAATGAATAAGGTAATTAGGGATGGTGGGACAGCCTGACTGGGAGGGAAAGGGAGGTTGGTTTGCTAGTTTAATGGGAGATATGTCTAGAAAAGGTAGATTGGTTCTAGACTGTGGAAGAACTTTACAATCAGACTATCAAGTTGGGACTTCACCTTGAAAAACTGTTGAAGTTTCAGCTAGCATTAGAGAAAGGGAGATGGTAATGGAGAGAGGGGTGGTCGGGGAGTGGATTGGCGGTAAAAGGAACAAGAAAAATAGTATCCTTAGAGGTCAGCAAGATCATTCATTCAACAAATATTTACTGGAGCACCTAAGTCCCAGGTATGTTCTAGGCATGGGAAAGAGAGCAGTGAACAAAGCAAAGCTCCTGGTCACAGGGAATCTGTTCCAATAGGGAGAGAGGGGCAGTAACAAATTTAGTAATGTAAGGAGGAGAACTAAGGCAGGGTAACGGGGGTACAGAGTGACTGGGGAGAGGTTGCTATTTATAGAGTTACAAGGGAAGGCTCCCTAAGCAGACTTTCAAAAAAAAAAATGCTGAGCAGAGTACCTCAAAAAAGTGAAGAGGCAAACCATTAGCTATTTGGGGGGAGATGTTGCAGACAGAAGCAGTGGCAAGGGCAGGTGAATTTAGGATGGGGAGGGTGCTTGTTCTGCTGAAGGAAAAGCAAGAGGCCACTTTGGCTGGGGTGAAATGAGCAGTGACGCAGTGGGAGATCAGATCGGGGAGGATTTGGTGAGGCTGACTTTGATTGTACTCAGAGAAGTGGGAAGCCATTGGAGGGACTTGAGCAGGGGAGTAATGAGATAGTCAAGCTTTTGTTTATTTTTCCCTGAAGTCTGACATTGAAAACCTGTATTCCAAAGGTAGAAAGAGAGAGATGGAAAATGTTAGGTGCTGGGGATAGGCCAGAGAGCGAGTTCTCAAGAGAGAGGTGACATAATGGAAGACATCACTTAGGCGAGTACAGGTGACCTTGTTCTGCAGCAGGGCTTGGGAGAGCAGATGATGCAGGTCATCCTCGGTGGGATCAGTGCCTTCACGGCGCTGAGATTTGTAGAATCCAGCCTCTGTCCCTGTGCCCAGTCACGGCCTCCACAGGGCACTGACAGCCTCGTTCCCCTGTTCCACTGGTGATTATCTGAAGTACTAATGAATAGTCTAAGTATTTTTATGCCATTTGTTTCTCACTTGGCAACAAGTGCATATGGCCTTTCTGAAACTTGCCAGAATTGGTGGTTAACAGTGGCTTAAATCAGTTTAAAATTCAAATGACAATTACTTCATCTTAACCCATTTGAAATGAAGGCTAGACATTGAGTAGATTTACAAAGAAAACTCTTACAGGTACATTTGGTAAAGATATCTAGTTATATAGGCTATCAAAATGGTTTCCAAGTTGATTGTCAAATTATTAGTAAAAACTTTCATGAACTGCAAAGCATCTCATAAATGATTGTTAGGTTACCCTAACTTCAGTGTTAACTGGACGAGTTTAGCTTCTGTATTCTTCTGGTTGAATGAAATATTCATAATCTGTAAGAGGTAACATTTGTAGAAGTAATTAAAAGAAAAGGCAACCTAACATAATGAATGTAGTAATGTGGTTTTCCTTGAATAGATACCTGGGACTGTATTGCTACCTGTTTCTTCATAGACACAGCTCACAATGTCATTGATTATATTGACACAATATGGAAAATACTCAAGCCAGGTGGAATTTGGATAAATCTAGGTAAGTTCCTCAGTGCTTATTAGAATCTTATACGTGAACCTGAGTACTTACAGCTGTTCTCTGTTTGGTAACTTTACGGTACCAAATATTCATAAAGGTTATACTTATGTTGTATAGTTTCCTTTAGACTGTATCCCAGTTAGTGTGGAGTCCTCTGAAAGCGTGCAAGCCCTAAGAGATAACAAACAGGTTTGAGTCTGTGGCCTTCAGAATGGGTCTAGTCTTGTTGGGTTCTGTCATGTGCTCTTTTTTTAATGGCTGAGTGTCACCACAGATTTTGCCGTTAGGACTAAGACCAAAGATAGAAGTAGGTCTTTCCAAACTTCTGTTAAGAATGTCATGGGACAAATGAGAGTGGCTGTAAAATGCACCTGTAATGTGAAAGTTATCCCAAACCTTAGGTCCTCTTTCTAAGGAGTACTTACTTAAATTTCTCTAAAAATTTCCCAAGGAATGATTGAAACATGATACATATAACCCTTGAACAGCGTGGGCCTTAGGGATGCTGACCCCTTGCACAATCAGAGATCTGCGTATAACTTTTGACTCCCCAAAAACTTAACTACAGATAGCCACATAGCCTGCTGTTGACCAGAAGCCTACTGATAACATAAACAATTAGCGTGTATTTTGTCTACTACGGTAGACTGTCTACAGTATTATATACTGTATATACTGTGTGCATATCTATATGCTGTGTATATTATATAGTGTATTCTTAAAGTAAGCTAGAGAAAAGAATGTTATTAAGAAAATCGTAAGAAGGAGAAAATACATTGACAGTAGTAAGCTGTGTTTATCAACAAAACAAAACGTGTAGAAGTGGACCTGTGTAGTTTGAACCTGTGATGTTCAAGGTCAACTGCATTACCACTGCGGGTGAGCAGACACCTTACTGAATCACAAAACAACCCTAGGTTGAAATGGTATTTCTACTGTTTCATAGTTGGAGAGTCTGATCTTGCTGTAAGTAACTAGCAGTGGGGTCTCGGAGCTTACACGTATGGCAGAGACAGCCTCACAGCCCAGAACCAACCGCTTGAATGCCTAACCAGCTAGTTCTGCAGGCACATCCTGGGTCTAACAGTTCTTGTTAATTATGTGATTAACATTTCTGACCCTGGTTACTGAGTTAGGGGAAGGTTTTGTGTATTTCCAAAGTGTTAACTTTCTTAGAAACTTTTCTCTTTGAGCTTTTATCTTAATTGGTTTATTAATATTTTATTAAGTTATATAATAACAGTAATTATAACTGCCCGGAACAAATAAAATTGCTCCTCATAAGCACACTGTTTGATAAGAGCAGACATGCTGGGCTGCACTGTGATCTGTCTCAGGCTTCAGAGGTAATAGGACACTTGGGTCTGGGGGAAGGTCAGTTGGGAGAGCTGCTACTCTTCATACCACAGAGTTCCGAAACAATTCGGAGCATTGGAATAATGGAGACGCATAGACCTTAAAAGTAGTTATTTGGGAGGTCAGTACTTTCCAAATCAAATTCTTCACATGTGTAAGCTGAGGTTACAAAATGATGATTATCTCAGAGTGGATTTTTCCTCACTCCTGGTGTGCTGTGGGCGTCTGTTCGGAAGAGCGTTCTCACTCTGCGTGCCGCGTCCTCGTCGCGTCCTCGTCCTTTACGACACGTGACTCCCAGCGCGGCTCCTCCTGCTCTTGCATTTCCCAGTCTGCATCTCTGGTCCAAGCCACTGTGTGCCAACTGGGATACTGCGACATCCAGGAAAACCCCTTGTCTTTTCGGACCCATCGTGGATGCAGACGCCCCCAAGCAGAAGCCTGTGCGCGCTCCTTTACCCCTCCTCTTCCTCACCGTCTGCATGCGGGCACTCCACAAGGCACGTCCCCTGAAACTTCTCTGTAGGTCTTGAATCATCTGTGCCAGGGTTCCTCAGCTCTGGCACCATTGGCATTCGGGGCTGGATGGTTCTTCATGTGGAGGCTGTGGAGAGGGAGGGTTGCCTGCGGCCAGGGCGGTGGTGAGCGGCATCCCTGGCTTCTGCTGGTTCCACTGCAGCAGGACCTCCTCAGGTGTGAGGACGGGAATGCAGAATCCGCCCAGCTGAGAACCACTGTTCCAGCTCAGCGCCTACCGTAGTTCAGGCCCTCACCCCTGCTTGCCCGGTGACTGCAGCGGTTCCGGTGGGGAACCCCCACCTTCAAGTTGTCTCCAGTCTTCTGCGCCTCGTTTAGTCCTCGTATGCTGCCACCAGGGGGATCCTCCCGACACCTGAATCTCTGCCTGTCACACTCCCTACATACAGGTCTAGCTTTCGAGGTACCCAGAACTCTTCAGGATTGGGCAAAGTGCCCTTTGTGGTCTTCGTGTCTGAGCTTCGTTATTTCTGTTCTGTACCACCCCGGCCCTGCCCAGAGATGCCCGCCTCTGACCTAGAGAGCCTGTTCTCTTCCCTCTCTTCTCATGTTGCCTCTTTCTTAGATGCACTTAACACTCAGCGGAGGTGATCCTTTCAGGTTGGAGTACATGTTTGTTGTATTCCTCTTTTATGTTCTCGCACAATCCGTGAGCATTTAACACAACACGGTGTGGCCCCCGATACGTTTTGTTTCCTCTGGTAGTCGTGCAGTGAGGGCAGGAAGCTGATGCTGGCTCTTTTCCTCCCGCAGAGCCCGACACCCAGCGGCTCTTCAGTGACTGGTGTGTGTGTGAGTGTATTGTTTCAAAGTTGGAAAGCGGAAGAGACGTAATGTTAAGTTGCCACAGAAGGTTGGCTGCCAGGAGACAGGACAGAGTGGCATTTCTGTCAGTAAATTCATAACATTCCATGGTTTTGGTGTCAGTCCTGTGGGCCTGAAAAAATAATTTCATCTGTAAGCTGAGAGTGCATCAACTCCTGGGGGACAGTTTCACCCGAACTGTGGTGATGTAAGACCGGATCGTCAACACATTCATAGAAAATGAGAACGGTCCCTCTCAGCCGTAGTGGAATACTAAGAAGCTACATTGGAAGTTAAATTACAGTGAAGATGTTGCCTATGTTCTATGAAATCACAAGTGGGAATATTGTTAATTTAAAAAATTTCTTTAAGGGGCGCCTGGGTGGCTCACTGGGTTAAAGCCTCTGCCTTCGGCTCCGGGCATGATCCCAGGGTTCTGGGATCGAGCCCCACATCAGGCTCTCTGCTCAGCGGGGAGCCTGCTTCCTCCTCTCTCTCTGCCTGCCTCGCTGCCTACTTGCGATCTCTATCTGTCAAATAAATAAATAAAATCTTAAAAAAAAAATCTCTTTAAGGGGATCTGAAGTACTCTAATATTCCTCAGGTTAGGGAAAGCTAGTGAGAGTGAGCTTTTTAAGGAAACTTTGCATGTATCCTTTGGGAAAGTTTGTTATTAGCAAAATGTAGAACAGTGCCTGTGCATCCTGTTCCTCAGCTTTTCATGGTGACCCTTAAAGACGTCTGTGTAATTTATGGTGAAAACTGCGTGTGGGTGTGCATATGTGTGAGCTGGTGTATTTGTAGTCCAGCAGTGGAGGGCAGGCAATTAGCAGATGAAATCTAATTTCGTCTGGAAGAATAAACACGTTAAAGTACTAAAAAGAAAGACTCGCAGTCTTTTCCTTCCTATGAAGGGGGAAAAACCCAGTTCTTCCCTACGGTGTATTTCTTCCTCGTGTGTCTCCTTTATTCCTCATACAGTAAAACACTCGTACTCTGACACATCTGGTTACCAAATGTAAGTTTTCCCGCCACAAGAGTTCTCTGTGACACCAGCTGGGTGCCCCCCACTTTAACTCCTGATACGGTCTACCTGGAGATAGTGTGAGATACCACAGGGGAAGGGGTCAGTCTCACAGGACCCTCTCCCCTATTTCCCCCAACTTCAGCCGCTAGTCCAAAGCTGTCACTTGTGCTTCCGACCAACTGTAGATCTGTGGGCTGCAGATTGGAGGTTCTAGCGAGCCCTTCTTTTGGGTGTGATTGCTAGAGTGGCTCATGGAACTTAGCGAAACACGTAGGTTGACCATTTTCTTAAAGGATGTGAAGGATCCAGAGGAACATCCAGATGGAAGAGGAGCGTAGGGCAGAGTATCTGGGAAGGGGTGTGGAGCTTCCATGCTCTGTCCCGGGCTTGCCACTTTCCCAGCACCTGCACATGTTCATCCCAGTAGCTCTCTGGACTCTGTGCTCTTGGGATTTAATGGAGGCTTGATCAGCCATTCCATTTTTAAGTGCTTCTCCCTTCTCAAGACGTTAGTGGGGCAGGGCTGAAACTCCAACCTTCTGATCATGGGTTGGTGTTTTTGGTGACCAGCCCTCACTGAATGTAGTCTCAGTAGAACCAAAGATGCTTCTGTCACCCACGAATTATAAGTTTCAGGAGCCCTGTGTCAGGGACCAGAGTCACAGGCCAAATATTTGAACAAAAGATGCTCCCAGTGTTCTTATCACTTAGGAAATTACGAGGGTTTTGGGAGCTTTTTGCCAGAAACCAGTGTGTATATTTTCTGTCATCTTGCAAGTACCAAAGCAGATCTTGATAAAGTGTAAGGAGTCTTATCAAATTTTAAAGCATCATTAAGGTGAACGTTTTTTGAAACATGAGAGGTTTCCTGTAAAAGGTAGATAGCTGACACATTATCTCCTTTACACACTGAGACCTTGTTGCAGTGGTTGTAAAAATAGAAAAAGGGTCCAAAACAATGACAGAGAATGGCAAGGAGGTCATCAGGAGGCAACAAAATGTAACCTTTTTTTCAGATGGGGTAGCTGGATAAGTTTTGCAAAACACCCAGTGTGAACAACCAGTTGACCTGCAGTAACCCTGGAAAATGACTGGCTATATGGAGGATCTGGAATATGAGTGACTATATGGGGAAAAAAAGAAGTTGAAGATCTACGTATGGAGGCCTGTGGACCCCTATAACTAGGGAACCAAGTTCCAGTCCATGCTCAGGCAAAGACCAGAATTTTAATTTACTGGAAAAAGTGAATGGGAAAGAATAAAATTTATGAAGGCATGACCTAGTAGAGAGTGAGGATGAAATGTAGGACATAAAAGAAGGATATTGGTTAAGTCAGGTTTGGAAAATGAGCAGGCAGTAACCACCACCCCCCCGTCCCGACCTGCCCCCACAGTAGCTCCTTGCCTAGCCTGTACAATTTTTTGCTGAGGTGTGAGTGCCCGCTCTTTTGTTTTGAACAATTGCAAGCCCTGTTTCTTTAAGTGGGCATTTCAAGATAGCTACTACAAGCTTTCTTCTAGTTAATGTGTACTGTATATTTTTCTGTATTTTAAACCCTTTCTCTTTGTTTTAGATGTATCTTAGGAACAGCATAGTTACATTTTGTTATCCAATCTAACAGTCTCTGTCTCTTAACTGGAATTTTTAGAACCTCAAGGATATAAATGGTTTAAGTTAACTTGTCCCAGATTTGGCACATAGGGCCCCCTTCCCCTGTGTCCATTTGACATCGCCTCCTTTCTGGCATTACCACTGTTCCAGGCTCTTCTTGTATTCTCTCTGCCAGGCCCTGGGAGTAGCCACCTGACCCCCCGACAAAGGATCCCTGGTTCTTTTTAATAGAGAATAGTACATAGAAACATTAGGTTGATTGTACTTGTAGAAGGCTGAAATACGCACAAAGATGTTTGTCGAAGTACCATCTGTAATAGATTGTAAAAAATACTCAACTGTAATGGTTCTCCTTCGATGGTAAAATTAGAGCTGTGTAACTGTACATTCACTGCTCTGCTGGGCATTGTGGTGAACTCACAAGAAACTGAAGACGTGTGCCTTTACTCATGTAGCTTGTAATCTGGTTAAAAAGTGTGGATTACATGAAAAATAATCAGTGAGCAAAGCCATACTACATTACATGAATTTTAAAGTAGGCTATATTAAGAGAGTGAGCAGTAGAGCTGGAAACTTAGATGGATTGTATTAAAACTTGCTTTCAGTAAGGTTTGGGAGCATGGCTAAAACTTGCATTGGGGAATTGGAGCTCTCTAGGTGGAACACAACGTGAAGAGAGGTATAATATGACCTGAGTATGTAAAAATTCCTGGGGTGTTTAGATCTAAGAAGACAGTAATACTGGAGGCTCTTAAAATAATGGAGCAGGAACATCACACACTTTAGAGCCGGACGGACTGCTCTGAGGCTCTTCGTGTTTATAATAGGGCTTCAAAGGCTTCGGGATGGTCTAGGACACAGCAGTGCTCAGTAAATGGTAGCTGCTGTCATTTTTGCTAGTCCTAATAAAACTAACAGGAAGTTAAGCTTGACAGAATAGTTTGATGGTGAACCATTGTTTTCTTCTGAAAAGAGTACTAACATATATATTCATAGTCATTTTTCCTAGTGGTTTATGTAGGGTAAGAAAAGAGGAGAGGAAGAAAAACGTTTTAATGCTTAGTAAGTATGTTCCACAGAGTGATGAGCCTTTTAGGAGGAGAAACTGTCCTGTTGTTACTCTTAATTCCTGTGATTAGCACATTGTATGAGGGGAAGGGGACGTGAGATGGGCACTGGACTTACAGTTAAGCCAATGAAAGGAAAAGAGAAGATTGTTTAGGTTAGTCCTAAAGTAATATGAATGATAGTGTGGCCTGGACAAGGCTGATGACGGACTGGGCAGAACGTGAGAGATTGAAAGCCTGGAGACTCTGGTTGGAGTCAGATGATAGTTCTGGGATACATGGAATGAGAGAATAGTAAAGGGGGGAATGCCATTTTAAAAAGCTGTGGTTGCTGTCACTGACTGAACGCCTTCTCTGTGCCAAGTGTACTGGGTGTTGCAGAGCTGGGGACGGGTCCACAGGCCCACGATCGGTGAGTGTTAGAGCTGGGATGTGAGTCGTGCACTTAAAGAGCCAGATCTGGTGTCACGTCTTCCTTCCAGGAAACCTTGCCTATAACTTCCCGCCATGTGCACGCACTCTCTTAGACCTAGGCTAGCTTGAGGACCCTTCTGTTTACACCTGATACGCAGTCTGCAGCTGCAGTTGTGCATTTACTTAAGGAATTACAATTACAGTATACTTTCGGAATTTGGGGACTTCGCATTCTCTGATCAGGTACTCTCTCAGTAACCCCGGAGTTACAGGTGTAAGGCTCATATGTGGAGAATCACAGTGCAGCCCTGGTATGCCACAGGGACTCCCTCCCCACCAGTGTAGGCCCAGCACTCAAATGGGCCAAAGTTTCAGGGGTTTGGACACATGCCCTTGGCAGATGTAAAGGTTCTGTTCTCCTTTTTGTTTGTTTCACATACTACCCATCTTATAATTCAGTTTGGAGTTCTACCACAGCAACTAGTGCATGTTTATATTTAAGTAATTCATTCATACTATCTTTAAACCATAGGTCCCCTACTGTACCACTTTGAAAATTTGGCAAATGAACTTTCCATAGAATTGAGCTATGAAGATATAAAAAACGTCGTTCTGCAGTATGGATTCCAGGTGGAGGTAAGGATGGGATGACGTTTCACTTCCAATGCTCTTAGGATTGGGACTATCATGACAGTTCCTGACTTGACTTCTTAATTGTTCCCTCATCCACAAAGTGAAAATAATAGTTGGCTTTTAGAATTATGAGGCTTTGGCATAGTGTGTAGGCAAATGGGAAACTGTAATCCCTGATGTCATCAGTCAGCTCTCAGTACATGGCAGCTTCCCGTTCTCAACAGTGTCGGCCCTGGTAGATGGGCAGATACCAAACCCACGAGCGTCTGGAGGAGCAGACGGAGCGGGGAGGGCAGTGACAGCATTCACTGTGTGTACTTCCGTAGTGTTCAGTCTTTTTTAATCATGTGATTATAAGGTTTTATGACACTTTGACTTGTGTTTTAGTTGTATGTTTATTTAAAAGCATTTCATTCATTAAAAAAATAAACAACAGATTTGTTCTTAAAAATGAAGAGAAGCAATGTAACAGAGTCATGGAGAGCTCCAGCTCTTATTACTGGTGTGACCATGAGCAATCTGTTCTTTGTAAAGTGCGATTACTAATAATGCCAGTCTTAAGGGGGTATGTGTATGTAAGAAGTCAATAGAGTACGTTTGCAGTGGTACCTGTCACAAGTACTGTTTGTATTATACTCATGGTCATCATCATCATTACGATTATTGTTTGCATTCCAGGTGGAAAAAGAATCTGTCTTGTCAACATATACTGTGAATGATCTCTCCATGATGAAATACTACTATGAATGTGTCTTGTTTGTGGTCCGTAAACCACAGTAACGTTTTCAAGTGGTATCAGCAGGAAAAGAGTTTGATAAGAGCAAATCCTGAAATAAACAACTCAAAATCAACTATCCCAATGACAGGACACAACCTCAAATCAGTGGTGCCTTCTTATTCCTAACAAAATTTAGAAATAGCGTCTATTTTCTTAATACGTCTATCGCTTTTTCAGAAATATACTATGCCATGCATATTTGTACTACAGAAGTAAAAATGGAGGAAATGTCTTCAAGTATACATTTTCCCTGAAGCCCAGAATTGTCTTTCAGTAGAGAAAACTTTATCTCCAGTGGTCTTCATGAAGCTGTCTGTTGCAAGTCTGCCATATTAATGACTACTAGTATCGAAGTCCCCCCAAATCTTTGTTTTGTGTGCATTGCACATATTATTTTTAGAAGAGTCTGAGGATCCTCTGTCACATTCAGCATCTGGAATTGGGACTTCGTTTGCTTTGGACCTAAGCAATCCATTCATAAAATGTTGTGTGTGTCCTTTTAATCACTCAAATTATTTTTTTTCTAGCTCAGCTGAATTTAGAGAAGCATCAACCATTTCATTTTTATGAAATGCTGAATTTAATAAGATCACAGGCCAGTAAAATGCATTTAAGCATTCAAGTAACTGAGTCTTTGGGGCATACTAACCTGAACATTTGAAAGCATACTCATCATGAATCACTCTGAAATGTATGAGATCTGAACACTCTTAAGTGAGGCACAAAAACCTTTATTCAAGGTACTGCTCAGAAAATGGGGAAATAATAAAATCTCCCATTTGAAATGTATGATTTTAAACTAGAAGTGAATACAGTTTGTCAGTGAATGTTTACAATAATGTCTTTTCTTTAAATTACCTGGATCACAAAAGCAAGCACTTTTTTTTTTTTTTTTTTTCCCAATAAACTGTCATGATGGTATTACCGTGGGGGAAATTCTGAATATGAAATTCAGGGATAACTTACTGCCCGTAGTCTGTGTCTTCAATATTGTAAGCAGCAGCCATTCATGTAATTTTAGATTAACACCAATTTTGTTCCCTGATAGCTGGAGTTAAAACAGTATATGCTGCTTTAAATTTCTACCTCTAGCAGATCTTTTCTATTGGAGGGAGTTTTCCTTTATATATATTTTTTATGTTTATTATTTTGTTTCTAGTAGCTTGGAAAGCAGAGATGACTGATGTTGTAACCTTTTCTTGGGAAAAGGAAGTACTCTTGTTGGATATTTTCACAGGTGATTATGATGGCATTAAATGACCTCTGTGGCAATTTGAATTAGATAGACTTAATCTCAATAATGTGCTGTAGGATTAATGTCATGTTCTAATAGGAAAACTTACTTGTGAATCTTTAGGCCTTTTTTGTTAGGTTGGGGGAGTCCACGCAATTTGGCATCTTATTAGTAGGAGCTTCTCCGTGGACAGTGAGGGAGCTCTTGTGGCCTTTGCTCCTGTTATGCAGTAAAGGGCTCTGTGAAGTTTATTTGACTTGCTAAATTCTGGAGGTCTTAGCCTCTTGAGTTTAAAAAAAACAAAACAAAACCAAAAACTATTTCTCTTTTTTGTGTCTCCCTCTACCCTCAATACTTGGCAGATGTTCAGTTATTAAAATTTTCATTAACTACCATGTGAATGAATTTTCAATTAATTGGTAGGGGGAAAAGTCCAAATTTGTTTTTGTTTCAGGAAAAAAAAAAAGTTTAAAAGGATCCTAAGTATTTAAAAAATCCACTGAAAGGAAAGGAATGCAGGCTGTTTTTGAGTAATGTCGAAAGGCTTTTTATTCACTGACTGGTATTCACTATTTTACTTGTATCAGATCAAACGATCTTGTTTTTTCTCATAGAGGCAAAAATATATTGGTAGCAAGGACTCGGCTTTATTACTTAAAATTTTGGCTATCAGGTTTTATTCTTTAATAATATTACTTATATTTCTAAATTACAGCTTAGCTTTTCGTTAATTCTGAAATCAGTTATTTCATTTGTTTTTAACTTCTCCTATCATGACTACTGTTTTTCAAATATTCTACATAAATCTGCATCACTTTTTTTCTCATTGCTTTTGTAGTTAATATATTCGAAACTTGAAAATTGTGGTATCAGTCAATAATAGAAGTGTCACTGGAGGATTTAATTTTCTATTTCTTATGTGTAGTCCTAGCTACTAAAGTATATAAGCCTTAAAATTTTTTGTTCTAATTCCTTATATTAGCTCGATATACAAATGTTTTCATTTTCATAAAGCAGGAGGAGATAGGTCATTGTGCTTGCTTCCCCCCCTTTTTTCCATATTCTGAAGCGGTGCAGGTTAGGGTATTTTAATCAAGTGAGCAAGATGGGAAATGTAAAATATAAAGAGAAGCTGTATAAATCACAGTATAAAATTATGAAGTTTGGGAACTGTAAAATGTACTGTATTTATATGTAATTCTCATTCTAAAAGTTGCCACAAAGGCTGAATTGGAAGCTTCATGTCTGCATGAAATTTCCTATATTTTTAACGTGTATGATGGACTTAATTTTTCTTGAATATTAAAGTCTGCCAATTGCTACGAAACAGTATTTGCTTGGTTGTTTCCATCTAAGTCAGTAGAAGTGGGAATTTGAATCCTTAGCCTTAGATGAGCTTATTCTTATATGCTTCTAGAAAGTCGATAATAAGAGTACTTGGTCTTTGAGTATGTTAGGCCTTAATACTATTTAATCTTGGTCTTTGGTTTTGTTAAATAACAGAAAGTAACTCTAAAGGACACCAGTACAAGAGAGTTCCAGGACCAGCCATTAGTAGCAGAACCGATGGACTTGGCGCTTACTCTGGGTTTGTTCCCCTGAACTGTTGTTGGCCATCTCAGGCAAGATGCTCTGAGTGTGTTGCCTCATCTGTAAGAGGATTGATACCACTTACTTCAGAGGGTTTAAGGTGGTCATGTGCTGCTGTGTGCGGTATCCTATGTGAAAGCACCTGGTAGATAGACAGTGTAATTTCACTCCGTGTTGACTGCTGTACAGTGATAGAAAAAGATGAAGATAAGTCCCAGGACATTAGTTTTAATGTTATGGTGAAAAGAAAACGTTTCAGTGGAATCCTGGGGGGATTCAAAGATGACAGGTATGTATGTATCCATTCTTGAATATTAAAGTTTGCTGGGAATTGTAAAGAAATTAAAATGGTAGGTAACGGGAGAGAAGGCACAGACAAAACTTAATGGAGGGTTACTCTCACTTGTAGAAACTTGCTAGTACCTGCCTCTTATAGAGTTGGATTATTTCTCTTGGATGCACAGAAGCAGAATCATCCAGCCAGCCAAAATCATGTGCATTTTCAGTCAACTTGCCTTTCAAAAAATGATGAACATTTTCCATGCCACTGATAGTGTTTTGGAATAACTTTGCATCCATTCTCTGGCCAGTACTAGGTTTTGCTAAACTTGTCATTTTTGGCAGTATGACAGGAAAAAGTATCTAATTTTAATATTCATTTCTTTAACTATTACAGAAGTTGAACAATTTATTTAAGTGTAATGCCCAAAGAGAGGTATCTTTAATCTGCCAGTCTAGGTTTTCAGCTGGTATACCAGACAGGTCATTGGCAACCATCCAAAAGTTCATAAAACTGTGTCGAGCTCCATAAGTGGGAGGTCTGGCCGGTCTCAGAGCACTGCTTTGAGTTCTAGCTACTGATAGGAAGGACCTGCTTCTGGATTTACCGGGCCGCCACTGAGGCCTGAGTGGCTACAGCGCATGGGACCCTGCTAGGTTTCAACATAGCCAACCGGGGATCTAGGCTCAGGAGTTCAGCTAATGTCTGTGAGTCCAGAGTCCCATTGAACCAACGACTTTGCTTTAGGTGGCAGAGTGGGGCATTAAGTTTACCTCCAAAGGAATAGCTGCCCTTTTCTCATAGCACCAAAAAGCTGCTAGGGCCAGGCCAGCTACACCCTTGAATATGCTATTTGTTTTGACTTGGAAGGCTTGTTGGGTTCTTTTCACTTTGGTAGTCATCAAGTCCAAACTGACTCACCTCCAAATGAGAACATCAAACCCAACGAGGCATTCAGTCTCAAAAGCTTAGTAGCAGATTAATAACTTCCTTCTTTTGTACAAAGGTGTCTTTGGTGATTGTCTGGCATTTGATTCCGTTGTAGTACTTGGCTATGCCTGTGAGAATTTAGGCAGCCAGTAAGTCTTTGAAGCCGTGGGTTCTCTCTCCTGGAGTTCAGTATTATTTCTGCTGGACCACCCAGGAAGGAACAGCCCTTGACCGGGACCCTTAAGTGGAAGGAAATGTGCAGGCGAATAATACATCAGATCCATGATACATGTACTGAATTGGCCCAAAGGGCCTCAGTGAGAGGTTATTTTTGAGGTGTCTGACTCCTTAGGAAAAACAACTGCGATTTTTCTTTTTTCTTTTTTTTCAGGCCTGAACCTAGGTCATTACAAAGGCTTTACCTGGCAGGTTCATGGAACAAAGCTGGCCTCGCTGGACCAGACTTGCTGCACTGCAGTCTCTAGTGGGACTTACAGTCAGAAATGCAGGCTCCTATGCACAGTGGCAGCCCTGGCCCAGTGCCTGTCAGCAGCTTTGGGATAAGCCTTCCTCAGGTGCCTCTGCTGACACCTGCTAATAGGAGCAGGGAAAGGGGAAAACTTGGAAACCACATTTCTATACTCCCACTCAGTACTTTACCCACTCCTAGGTCCTCCTCCTCTTCCACCCCACCCTCCAGGTCTGCAAGCTTGCAGGAGCCTGTCTGGACTTCCTTTAGCAATGAAACCGCTACCATGTCTGTGCAGACCCTGCTGACCCCTGACTGTGCTGTCCCAGGATGAAAATGGAGCAGAAGCTCCCTGTGGTTTGACTGTGAGTTTAGTCTTGGCTTCTTGTATTCACCCGCTTAGTTAGCCACCAGCTCTCCCTGGCTCAGATGAGCCGCTAACAATTTTCCACACCTTCCTTCCCATCACAAGCCCTGTCCATACTATCAGTTCAATTCAAGTGTCTTTCTCCCCTATAGGATCACAGAACCAAGAAGTTTAACACGTGCATTATGGGCTACAGCACAGCAGCCAGGAGACCAAGTTGCCTCCAGCTGGG